AAGTTCATACGCTTCGACCTTGCTGTTTGATGAAGTCAATGCTTACATTTAGAGTAAACCACGCCATCTTTGATATCCACCATTATTAACCTCCTAGATAAATACCCTCTTAAAAATTATCATAGCGCGCTGCTAACTTAATCGACTGAGCGCAAGAACGACGTAATGAATTTTCCGTAATTCCGACGTAATTATTAATACAAACACATTTGGAACTCCTTACGTCCTAATTCGTTGTACACAAAACCACTTGCCTAGGTTTGGTAAGCACCAATCGCAGCAACTGATTATCTAATCTTATATAATAAAGCAAGTAAATATAGTATCTCATGTGTTACAGTTGAGTACAGTCGTCCAATTCTTTTGCAAGAAAGAAAAAGGAGAAGATTTTGCTCACCTTTATATTATAAAATGAGTAGAAGGGCTTCCGATTTCTTTTCAATTAAGTGAATCGGAGAAAGCGTCGAAGTCTCGGAAACAGTAATGTTTAAAAAATATGGTTCACTAGGAGATGCTTCAAGCATCAGCAGAAGAATACACCACTTAACCTTTCGTCCCCTACGCTTTATTATTTTCGATAAAAAACGGGCCCCCTTCTAGAATTTACTTGGCGTACATTCAAATCCATGGGCAAATAGTATTGCTAAAAAAGTATCTGTATCTATTTTTTCAAAATACTTTTTAAACATGGTATATCCATCATTTAAACTACTTGATTCGCATATTGGTTTAACATTTTCATACTGATGGGTGCATTTCTGCCGTGCGAAAAAAAGTAAAACCGTATTTTAACGAATCTACATACATAAACTACAAAAGACATTAAAGAAATCATTTATGATGGAGTGAGCTCCGAACACATCGCATAAAGTGCGTACAAATTATTTCTTGTAATCTTTTCTCCTGTTGTAGAACCCTTGGGCTATTTAATGACCTGTCCCTTCGCTTTGTCGTATCCTAGCTACACAAATAATGACGATGTCAACGCTATAAATTGCGTAATTACATTCACAGTGTACAGTTAAATATAGACATATGAGTTCGTTAAGATGTCAATAAATGATGAGCATCTAAGCTATCTACTTTACAGCAATCCAGGGTAACTCACAAATTGTTTAGCGCATGATGCCTCCTGAAAAATGCTTACAAAACTTCCGCCCTAGTTACGGCAACTATTTCTGTGCCTCATTATAATGATTGTTAATAAATAGAATACAACGTGGCTCGAAATCCCACTGATTTTCTCAGGTGGACCATAGTTTTGTATCCAATTAGCAAGTTAGAATTAAATTCTTAAGTTTTATATAAAACTACGAATTTTTTGGTCTTAAACGTATTAAAAAAACCGGTGATTATGCAAAATCATCGACAACCCATGGAATAAACAAATCTTTCAAATCTAGTACTAAACTTTTCTACAGCAGTTATGTAACTTGTGTGCAATATTTTTTTTAAATAAGAAATTAGCAGGCTCAGGCTACATATTAACGGGGATAATAAGAATTAGAGATCTGAGATCACGCAATGTTTTTTTTCTGATTTGACCAATATCATGTCTAGTGATAGTTAAATTTTGTAAACAAAGAAGATGCTTTGTGAGTTCAGCTGTGGGTTATGTTGTCGCGTTGTAGATTTTAACTGCCTCGGTAATTAGCTGGAAAGGCAAACCTACTTAATTTCGAGCTGACACCCAAGGTTATTCAGCTTCTTTCTATCAATCCAGAGCAAATACTGTTACTGTTATCTACAGCATCACAGATAGTGACCGGCTTAAGATCTCGGTTCTGGCAAGTTGTAAATTCTAAATTCGTTTCAAATTGTTTTTTTCTAACACATTAGCCCAAGTAAAAACAATCTTCTTTCCAATGTTTCCTACAAACAATAGGAATCCTGGAATAAAACCGATATCCGCTTATTAGCAAACAACTTAAATCTAAAAGCTTACAAGGCACTTTAGAGCACTTTGGCATAATGCTTATATATTGGACTAAACTTACTGAAACATGTTAAGTTTAAGCATTAGCGATTCTATATCTTCAATCATGCAAACAACTTTAAAGGATACAGAAACAATAAAAGTCGAAAATAATAATCGGTCAAATTTCAAAAATACTAGAAAGGTCTTTTTAGGCTGCTGATGTCGAGTAAATCTTGTGATCCATGAAAATATTTTACCGTAAGTTTGGAAAACCAACGTACAGATCCGAGCTGATTCGCGTAAACACCTACAATTTGCAATAAAGCATAATCTATGGAAAGCGTTAATAAATGTAAAGAGATATCTAAATGTAAAGTTCTTCAAAACGTTTAGCGACTCTGTCATTTCTTGAAATAAATTCATCACGGGAGGCGCATAGTAGAAGATGGCGACCCGATACCTACAGAAACAGCTTTCATTTACATAGTTTATCGTTACGTCGGCATACAAGCACTATCAATGCTGACCGAGAAACGACCCTTCGCGGTCAACCCGTCGTTGGCTCGTTACTTTCCAAGCTAAAGTATTGCCTCGTCCGCGAGCAAGTCGCGGTAATTTCATTATTACTGCGGTGACAGCGCACCAGCTGCTGGCCGTAATAACTGTCTACAGCGCATGTTATCCATGGCAGTTGCAGTACTAGCTTCACTTGTTGTGCCTGGCAAATAGAAAATCGTAATGGCTACAGGTGGTTGCTGCTGTTTTTCACCTGGTGTACTTTAAGAAAGAAAATGGTTTTCGAACACTTCATCTATTGGCGGCAACATTACTTGAAGGCGATTGTGTGGAAACGATCGGTTGTATTGACTACTTTGTGTCATAAGATTGTCTAAGGATTTAAACGTTGAGTGGGGTTAACGGTAAATTTACAAATGGCTACAGCTGACTAGTATAAGCCTAGTCTCATAAGGTAAACGTTTAAATCTCTGTTTTAATAAAAAAATTTAACGCTTACGTTCTTGCCTTTGTATACGTAAACTAAAAAGAAATAGTATCTTAAGAATAAACAAGAGTTCAACTTTAGACCTAAGAAAATACGCATCGTGTGTTGCTATGATGGGAAATATGATTATCATTACGGAAAGGGAGATTATCATTACGGAATGAGATGTGATCGAAGGTTTTTTTGTGATCACCGGCAAAACTAGTCACATGGCTTGCACCCTTTTAATAGTAATCTAGGATTGAAAAACATGTACAATAGCAGAATGATCTGATTATGCACAACTATTAGCTACAATAAGACGTTGTGATTAACGGGGAGAAGTGGACTTATAGTTGGTTAAATCAGTAATCTGCAGCTGATAAAAACAGGTTGACAATAAGAGGCAAGCGAACTCAAACAATGCTTGTTTGAAGTATGAACTTATTCTTCCTGTCTGAAACTCATTTTTAGGACTGTTTTGGTTTCCCTCTCTTGCGTTGCTAAAGAACACACTCATTTCAAATAAATCTACTATTAACTAATATAACATTATTTACAGCGACAATCAGTTTTTGATCGCGCTGTAAATATGTGTTTGCTAGTCAAAAGAGCAAAGGGTATATAAACGCACAAACAAAGTTCCCGTCGACTCACTACCAGGAATTGTAGTTATCGGTGGAAACAGAAATTAATTAACCCTGTTGATTTTGTTGCAGAGTTTAACAGCGTGGTTACACAGAAATAGTTCCTGAAGCTTTTTGGAGCGTATCGTTGACTTGTGGTTAATCATTCGGTTGCTTTTGCTTAGCTAAAGATCATCTCAGCTCCATTTCTTTTTGGGAATGTTTACGCGTTTGTGGCCGACAGCAGCGTCCTATGAAAGACTTCACCATCAATTTCGCCTGCGAGAACCGAGTGTGTGCGTGTGTAATGGTGTCGTATATTCCTTGTACAATGTGGCCGTTTTCCTCTTTCCAGTTTTTATTGCCTTTCTGTGTTGTGCTGTTTCTACCAGTGTTATCTTTTCCCTCTAGTGAACTAACGATCACTAACATTCGTCGGAACGTTCGTGTGTGTGAGATTATTACTTTCTCTTCCATTTCACCGTTGTTCAGTAGCATCTATAATCTTAATTCAATTTCACCGTTACTTACTATTTCCTGCCTATTGACGCTATTATTAGGCTCTCAAGAGAAATCGGAAACTGCTTTCAACGTCTCTTCGCTGATTCATTGACCGAATTCCACAAGCGATCTGAACAGATATCAGGTCCAGTGGACGTTTACGTGGAGCCGGAGCTGTAATATTTGGTAACGCTGGGGTAGCTTCAGCTGGTCAATAAATGTTGTTCCTTTCTTTTTAAAACAGAGGTCTTTTCAAAAATGTTCAAAAAGGAGTTCTTGCCTCGCATAAAAAACGTAACATGAAAAGTAAAATCCTCTTTTCTTTTGAATATTGAATAATTATGGATCCACCGATTCAATATGTGCAGCGATAATGGGTGATTCCTATGGAATTGAATGGAACTGTGAGTATAAGCGGTTAACTGTGCCAAACTGATTCTAAAATACATAATAGCTAATGTTGTTAGTTGATTAAGAATTTCGAACTATGATAGCTATCGAACTCTTTAATTGCTTTGTTTGACAGTCACTTCTTAATACTAACAGTAGATCTTGACTAACTTGAAAATAAGCAATAAATCGAGTTGTAACAAAAAAATAGGTTATCGTCTAATTAGTGAGATAAGAAAGAGAACTGAAATCGCAGAAATCTACAATTTACCATACCTTTCTATAAAACCTATAATATTTGGCACATGATAGAGCTTCTTTTTGTGTTGGCTAGATAGAAACTTTTTGTTTTCTAGGTGAATCATATAGTCATCTAAAAAACAAAAAAGAAAGATTGGTAAAAATCATATTAAAACTAAATTATATGCTCACTGGTATATAGCGGCAAGCGCAACTTCAAGCATTAATAGATTCGTTTCAGAATGTTTCGTGTTTCATATTTATTACTTCCTTGCTATGCTACGCTACCGGCCTCTGCTGATAATAACTGACTTAATTTATTACATTATTGACATGAAATGGCATTTACCATATTCAGTAAGAAGAGATTAATTAATTCGTTGGTATATATTTATTTCATTGTAATTATTTACATATAGTGGCGTTCTTGTTCTTAATACCGCTGCGGTGCTTAGGCCAGAGTGATCAAGAGTGTTATTAGTTTTCGAAGCTTGCTTTTCGGTTGCCACGAAATTATTTTGTGCCGTGATGGGCGACATCGACGAACCTCGGAATAATATTTCCTTGCGAAGAGTGAGAGTGCGTTCGTTCGATGAAGCAAATCAGATTCTAAGTAAGATTTATTGTCAGTAGTTTGCAGGACTTATATTTGATTTTCACCTGCATCTAGCCGACATGGACGTTAGTCTAGATGATTCCTAAATTACGTCGTTAGCAAATTGTCCAAAAGTGTGACGGCGAAATACAGCGGTATAATCGTGATGAAATTGGGCATATGTATGAACACGAAAATAAAGCGTATAAATTAAGCGACCGATGTTCCCGTCGTATATTTTTTGACGAGTAGAGGATCCACCAGCTATTGCGCTAGTTACTAATTACTTTCTCTAACGGTGCACAAAACGATATTGATAAGCAAACACGAAATACCCCAATAAGTAAAAGAATTGGCAAGAACGCGGTGTATTTTGCTATGGTAATGCAAGGAGCATTGTACGTCAAGAACATCGCTCGACCAAAACTCAGTATTCGTTTCGTACTATATGAAAACGTTATATCTACATAGTAATAACAATAATCGGAGATACAAACGACATTTTACAATAACGCTTGCTATTTGCATCAGTTGACCTAAAATGATAAATTGGCAGACAGATGAATCGATTACGAGCAACCCTTTAGTTGGGCTAAATGAATGGTGATTGATGAGGTAGCTCAAAAAGAATGTTTCCGATAAAACAGATACACTCAACAAGACACTTAGACGAAACACCAAGTGCTGGAGATTCCATACAGGCCCATTAGATTCTCACTAATCTTTGCAAAGGTGTGTGTCAAACAATTTCAGCGTCGGCAGCTCCAATTTACAAGTAACCTAGCCTTTAATGGCAATGTTACTTGAGCTGCTAAGCTATTGACCACTTGGCAGCGATGGTGAGAAAATGGGTTTATGATTGCCAGCAACGCCAGCCTACGGATTCTGACGAATAATGCGCTTACTGAGCTTATTATGTACAATATTGAACGAGTACACCTTATGATAGTAATAACTAGTTGGACTAATAGGAGACCAGCCGCAGAGCGCAGTATCACGGAATAGTTACTATAGTCACTCATGCATGGCCTCGTATTATTCCGCTGGGTACAACATGCGTGTGGCAGGCCTTTGCTGAATACAAACTTGAGCATATTACTGGACTTTGACTGTCTTGGCAATGGGGACGCCATTTCCATTAGCGTCAATAACTTTGGTTGAACTAGTTCCGGGCGCTTTCTTATTGTAGGTCTTCATGTAGAAGTTGAAGAAGAGCACAAAGAAAAGTGACGCCTCAAAGATTGTAATATAACCGAAATAAGGTGGGAATCCACAATCGTAGAAAACTGGAATTGAGCCGTGGATGATGAGTGATATGAACTGTGTCATCTGCATTTGGGTCAGGTAACGTTTCCACCAGAGGTACTTTTGCAAGCCAAATGCTGCCATAGCGTAGTATGCGTACATAATACAATGTATCACACAGTTGATAAGTGGAAAAAAAGCATTTTGCCCGGTGGCTCCAAAATTCACTCCTAACCAAACAGAGCAAGCCACGAGGGAATGATGAATCACATGGAGTACAGAAATATGGGAGAATTTCTTGGTCAGCACGAAAAACACGGTATCCATGAGTTCAAGGATTTTCAAGCACATATACCACCAGCCGATTGTAATAATGGTCATTTGCTTAGGGTCCGAGCCATAGTTCGCCGCTTCGCAAAACCACGAGTAGCCACCTCCTAAATAAGTGTAACTTCCTCCGTAGACGAAGAACCAGCCATTAGCAAGCACCATGAATATGTTATAAGCAATAATCCAGTGCTTAATTTGATACGGCTTGCGGTCGCGCATGTAGTTCGGTCCCCAGATTTTCACGAAGTACACATAGCTAGACACAAGCGATAAAATAGGTAGTGGTGAACTCATCAGTGGCCACTTTTCCACACGAGGATCCGTGTTTTCCATGATGCCGCGATAGGCCCATTGGAGCTGATCCACAATTATCGGCATCTTGACCAACTGACCGCAACGTCGTCTAGGTATAACTACCCGCCTGCAAAAAACGGAAACGGAAAAGCTAAGCACTGAGCACTCTCACTATCATCGCAACACATCATATATTATTATCCATACCCGATAGTGATATTATTAAGTTTATATATAAAGTGATGTCAAACATAGCTAACTAAATTTAAGTGAACAACTATCCGTTCGATTTAGCTTATCACTGAGGTGAAACAAAAAATCCATATGTTCAAGCGTATTTTACACAAAGATCAACAACCGTATCCACATGCTTATGCTAATTAGACAGTACCATTGTCAGTTTCAGTGAATCCGAAAAGAACGAATAACCAGTTATAAAATGACTTAAATGACTGGAACGGGACCGTAGACCCTATTTTACAGCTCCGTTTATATTATGATGATACGTTAAGACGACTTTTGGTTCCATTCACGACACCTGCCTTAAATTCAGCTGATTTGCGCGTCAGCTAATCCTTCGTAAACTTGTTCACAGAACCTGGGCCAATTCTGTTAGGCGCTCACTTTCTACATCAGTTGAGCGCTTGCACCATTCAGTTTTGCTCTAATCTTCTGCACGGCTTCCAACAACTCGACCGACGACTGCCGCGCTCCACTGCAGCGGTTGACGTTTAAGTACCGTTGGTGAGGGAAGTTGGTTTGCAACAAGAGAAGACTGATCTGCACCAGAAGCGTGAAGGCAGAAGGCGGTCGCAGGCGAGGGTTTGGACCAGCAGGAAACACGGCGAAACGACGAACACTAAACAAGATCTTAGATTCGCGACGTTGCTGATGCTGCTGCCGCAGCGGCTGCTGCAGCATGATTGAGCCAGTAAAAACACTCAACACTCCCATACTGGTTGAGAGAAGTCTGATAGATCGACACAGACATACACACATATGCCTCATACACTTGTATTAGTTAGTCATAAAAAAGTTGCCGGTACTTCATATGTTTGCCAAAATCTGTGCTGAGCAACGGCTTCATGGCGCTGTTGGGTGGTAAGGCTTCATTTGCTTGATGACGGTCGGAAACTGAATAGACCTGACTGGATGTCGCAAATATACTTTTTGACATTTGTTTCACTTGAAAACCTCAACGAAATATGTGGCCAGCGTAAGCATTAGCCCGGAAAAGCTCCCTAAGTGTTGGTTCTCATCAAGACATAATCAACTATCGCAATTGACGTCATCATGCTACACGTACGCATTCACGTGTATTTTGCTTCGATGACACATTGTTATAAAAAAAAAGCCACAATAGGCCAAAAATTGACTTAAATAGTCATTTGATATATGGTTTTTTGAGCAAGTGAACACTTTACGGAAGAACTTCATTTCGGATGCCTTTATTTTTCTCAACGGAGAATGCATAATACAAAATTCATGTACAAAATTAGACATACGTGCTTTGTAAAGCTGCAAAGTAGTTTTCCTGCTAATAAGGTCGGGAAAAAGCAATCATCTTTACAAATTAAGTTTGACGTGTAAACATTGAATTCTTCCATATATGAGCGGTTCTATGGCGCATAAAGGTCTTCATTAATACGCACAGATACCTATTACGATTACAACTATATTTTTTTTTTATTCGAACGCAGAAGATATTGTTGTCGAACACAAATAGCATCAACCAACAGTGTGACACCATTTCCTGAACATTTCGAGTCCTACACTCAGTACTACTGTTAAACACTGCTTCAGATGGCTGGTTACCCACCACGAAGCAAAGTCTGTTTATGCTTGGCTTCGAACCTACAGCACATCATGTATCCTATGTTTTGTAGGCAAACTTCTGAGTTATAGTAAACATTATTTAAGTTAATATAATATGCTTTGATAAACTCAATAGGTCGAAAATAAAACACCTGGCCGAGTCTATTATTTGTGTTATTTGAATTATTGATTCAGTACTCTGTGTATTAGAAACTATATATTTGCGACATGTAGTTGTAGTGTTTAAGTTAAATGATCCTGAGTTGTACGGGATAAGAACAGCAGTAGCCCAAAAAAGGATCAATGCGATTACAGTTGAGCTTTGTGAGCTATTAGGATAACCTTAATCACCATTTAATGATCTTCTTTGGGCGTGAAGTGTATACGTAGAAGAAGAATAATGATAATTAAAAATGTAGGCCATGGTAGAAGTTACTAAAAATAACACTACTCTTTAAAACGTTTGCTCGAAAACAGTACAAACCCTTTTCTCTAGGCTATTTCAAGACCCCAACGATGATGACACTCTTTTTCAGCTCAGACAAACATCCGCACCACACGATTCTACCAAAAACACCTATTACACGTAGTAAACAGTACTTTAACTCAAAGCTGTGCAGGGGATTCAACGAAGTGCGGATTTGATAGGTGACTTTATCCTCTCCAACAAGCAACCCCTCAAACTCGTAGCCGTAGCTTTAGATAGCGTAGTTGATGCACCAGTAATAAGGCCTCATAGCGTTTTTCTCTCGCTTAACCACGGTCGCCGACTGATTCAATCTACGATAAGCTGCTTTCGACAGAGAGTTGAAATCATTTTTCTTCTTCGTCCAGTTTGTCCCATTTTATGCTTAAATTACCTTCCTTAGGAGTTCAGTGCTCTTTCAGACCACTGAACCCTTTGAGGTGACTGGGCTCTTCGGGAGTTGGCGAGATCGGTACAGACCGACACGTGAGCAAAGGGGCGTCTCGTTTATCTAGGATGTCTCATAAACCTACATACATCAGTGTGATACGTTAAAGATTTTCATAGTAAAGCGCTAAATATCCAACGCCAAATATAGCTTGAAATGAATAAGCGATAGATACATAACATTCGTAAAATGAATTTTTTGACAGCCATTTTCGATCCACATCGCATACTATTAAGCTGTAGAAATAATGGTCAAAACTTTTAATAGATAGCTCACAAGATACAATCTTTGTGAGCATATTTATTGTGTTTTTAAATGCATCAATGCCATGTATGAAAACATACACAAATACGGGTATAACATAAGATTGACATTTCTATGGTTCAATCCGAAATCACAGGTTAATGCCTTGACAGGTCCTGTGATTGAGTTGCTTTAAAGACAATATTTGGAGTTTTTTACGTACGAGTTTGCTTTTATTTCTGCCAATAGAATTCACACAGTCACAGTTGGCTTTGCAGGTTTCGCGTGGCTACTGTACGCTTTCAAAGATTTGCCATGCTGTGTAGTTTGCAGATTCTAATTTTTAATCCCAAAAAAAGGCTTGTTTTTCCACAAAAGAAATTTACATAACTGGCAATATGAAATAACCCGTTTGTTGCCTTTGAACCTCATATCCTCTGGGACGAGATAAATTAGGCATGACCTGTTTGAGGAAACCCTACTGGCTTCATGGAGTGATAATAGGTTTATTTATAAAGAGCGTCGTTTCTAAATACGCTTTAGAAAATCTATACCATTTCGTTCACTATCAATCTATATACATCACATCTAGTGACAAAATGTTGTACATGTATAAGGTATGGAGGCTGTTCTAAACATTGTTCAAAAAAAGGATATAAAAAAAAACATGTGATGCACCTTTCGAATACCTACATGAGCGTAACTCCGTAGAGGATGTCTCTCAGGAATATATAAAATAATTTGTCAAGTTCGTAACACTATTTATTTTGAATTTTTGACTGACGGATTCTTTATGCTGCTACTCAATGTGTCATAGATTAGCTCGAAACTTATTTACAGTGATGAGTTTACATAGAATTATTTCATAAGACACTTAGAGTTAGCGATAATATAACCTACTATTTTTATTTTAGGTGGTCTCTAAAAAATGTTATATTTATCTGACTTTATCAACGATGTGAAACTGTAGTCAGTGCTTAGACCCTTTGACCAGTCAATTTGTAATACGCATTGCATTTTAAAAGATTAAGGCAGCTTTTGTGTTTTGGTTTTACAGTGTGTTTTGACTTGTATCAATTAGTTTGATGGTTCAATGTAATTCTTATTTCAAATGAGAAACTGTTGACGTACAAGCCATGATAGTTGGTAGTCTAAACTGGTTTATACGATTTTATCAGTGCTTTTTGTAGCATTGTTTTATATTACGTTTGCACATTAGGCTTTAGATTACGCTAGATTTAGATTTTCAGTACCGACAACAATAATCTGTCTTTCAACACTATTCGAAAAACCTGTAAACCTATTCTTGGCTGCAAGGATACAAATATTTGCTTATAAACAATTATTAAATATTAAAAAAATATATAGATCTTAAATTAAAAAGTTATATTTAGAACATTCGATGTCAGAAAGAGACGATTCTAAAAAAGCGCGCTACCTCCTGTACGTCCGTACTGGTGCATAAAAGGTGCGATGTATAATGACAGTGATGTCATGGTTGTCTACTGGATATTTTATTGCTCTAAAAACAGTCAGTTGTTCGTTATTTAACGACTGTTTATAACCGTGGACTCCGATTTTCTGAGTTTATAAACAATGCATGTATATAGTACGTAAACACATAATTTTTTTTGTTCTAAAAATAATTGGGACCAAAGAAAAGCACCCTTAAAATTTTTGAATGTTGCAGTAATACCTGATGCTTATATCATAAACAGAAGTGGGTTTCAATTAAAAAAAAAACACTAATGTGTGTAGATGTTGTGGTTTAATTTTCTTACCGTTATTTCTCTAAGAGTAGGCCGCGGTGTTTTGCGGAGCGTTACTCGATGTTTCTGGTCTGTGACTCGCTCTTGGTTAGCTGCCACGATGGGTATGAGAGGAACTATAATGTCCCAGCCAATGTGTACCTAAATACAGACATAATGCAGTCTGCGTTAGTGCTCTTTGAGATGCAGTATATTCAATTTGCGTTTAACATACTTGGGAACTACAAATTGTGATGGCCACAAAATATGGATTGTGTTCTTCACAGTGTCATTGTACGTCTGTCATATATTAATAAATAATACAGTTTTAGAAATATCGGTAATTGCTACTACAGTAATTTCAATATGATACAAATGTGATAAGCTCAGTTCTTACAAATGTGGTAGTTTTACCACACTGTATGTATTTAACATGTAAAAAACTTAATTATTTAGCCGAACAGGTCATCCAAAGATTTCGTAGTTTTGATCTGCTCAATATGTTTTTGAAATCAGTTTTGATGGAGCTGTGAAAAGGAACTATACGATACTAATACATGCCTAATTGAATTTTATTAATTTACGTAAGCTATATCCATTTGACTTCTCATCTTTGCTACACTCAAATAAACTATTGAATTTACGAACAACATATTTAGCTACAAAAAGTAGATTCAGGACTTTTCGTAATCCTACCTTAAATGAGTGCTTTGTAGCTAATGACAAACAAACGACAATTTTGAAAATGTGCTAGCAACAACCATAATGGAAGGACGTTATTGTTTACTACAGTTAGCATGCGTTGTTGGTCTTTCTCATTTTCAATACGGTTACACCTTTTCCACCAGAATAATACACGCTCTTTAGACTTTGAAAATGTCAAAATTCGTTATGAAACAGAGAGAGGTTATTAGATAAAAGTTTACGTTGTTTCATTCGGCTTTCAGCTAAGTTAAGGATGATCTCGTGTGACAGA